TCACGATAATTTTGCGTTTAACCTAGCTTCATCTGGTTTAAAACGCTTTGGTTAACGCAACCTGCGTTTATATAGTTTAATCACCAGTCCAATAATAATTTTAAATGGTCCTCACATCCACACTCTACTTCAGATCGTCACCCAAGTTTTGATAATTTCTTAATTAAAACATGACAATTTATTTTAGAAAGTTTCATTTATAGAGATCTATTATTCTGCCCCACCATGACAAAAGGAATTAAATTACAATTTTTCAAATTCAATATCAAAGAACTAATAATTTGAAACATTTTGATATTGAACATGCTCAAATTCCACTAATTGACAAGCAATTAGCAAGACAACAAGGAAGTAAGAGACCTACTATGACTGTTAGTAATATTCAAAATATTTAGCATGACGTCAATTTTGATATGCACATCTTTGATATGGTCTTTGTTTGGACAATTTTTGAAGATTCAAGCACGGAAGGTGACCAAAGTGCAGGTCAAAAAAACTGTGTGCAAAAACATAGGAAAATGGGATAGAAGGGAAAAAAATAGATTACAACAAAAACGGCTGTTTCTGCTGATGTGGAAAGTCAATTTAAAAAAATCAAGAAAAAAAAACTAACCCGACGTTAGTAATACTCGAACTACATCTGCAATGGAAATAGTGAGGTTGCTATGGAGACTCGTAACTATATATTGCGCGCTATATGAGCCGACCCTGCTTATGACAGTGCATTTGTCCATGCATATCACGGTAGTTTTACGTTTAACCTAGCTGCATTTGATTTAAACATTAGAAAACTCGAATAAAATTCTTTAAATGGTCCTCATATCAACACCCTACTCCGGATCGTTACCAAAATTTAATCATTTCTTCATTGGATCATGAAAACCTATTCTGGAAAGTTTAATTTAGATCTATTTATAAGGTATTAAAATATTTAGGTCTGGGATTTTAGCGATTTTAATGACCCTGAAATTCACATCCGAATGTGGATTGTCACTAAGACTTATAAAATACTTGCTTGTAACATGGATAACGTTTCCAGAAAGTTTCATTCAGATCATTTCATCAGTTTTTGGGATATCTGGTCTGGGACGTCTATCGCTATGGCCCTCATGTTCACACCTTACTCCGGATCGTCACGAAAATATTATCATTTATTTTAGTGGACCATGAAAAACCATTCTGTAAATTGTTATTCTGATTTACTGGTCAGTTTTTTGGATATTTAGGCCTGGGACGTCAGAAGTTAAAATGGCCCTCACATTTACATGTACACCCTAAAGTGGATCGTCACTAACACATACTACTTTTTTCTTTGTAACTTGGTTAAACTTTCCAAACAGTTTCATTCAGATTAATTGATCCGTTTTTGAATCTGGTGTTGGACGTTTGCCCTTAAGAGTCCCTATAATTGGTCCTCACATCCACACACCCCATTCTGAATTGTCACTAAATATTAGGAGGCACATTCTTGATAGTATATGGTCTATGCTTGGACAAATTTTTATCCAATTTTGGAAAGTGCCCAAAGTGCCGGGAGGAAAAACTTAGTGCATAAACATGGATAATAAAGTATGTAAGAAAAACAAAATAAAACAAAACAAAAGCGAAGGCTTTTCCAGCTACTGGGAAAAGCCAATATGAATAATTATTATTATAATAATTATAACAATTTTAGACCTTCCTAGCCTTTTAATTTGAAAATAAATAGTTTTCAAAACGTTTGTTATCTCCTACTCCACGCCATAAAAGAGCTACACAAAGAAAATAAAGTTATATAATTAACAATTACTGGTTTAAAAAAAAAACAAAACAAAACAAAAACCACTACCGTTATTTACTTTTTTTTACATTTAAAGGTTTCAGATCTAGAATTTAACTTTCGTTTAAAAGATTTCCACGCAATCTTCTTTTACAATTAAAGATTATTGTCTGCTTATGTTTTTTTTTCTGTCTAGTATCAGTTTTGCATTTTTTGTGATGTTAATGTTACTTTTTCTATGAAACGTTTGTTATACGACTTACACATAAACATAATATTAGGTAATGCACATTCATTAGATGACATTGTGTATGTGTTTTGTGTATATTTACTAACGATAATGTTAATGGTGATGTTAGTAATATTTTTAAGCAAAGTCGCTTAGAACAGAAAAGGTTTTTTTTTTCTTTTTATCAAAGACAAAGCTGACCACTAGAATCCCGGTCATAATAGTGGCCTTTCCGGGAGGGAGACCTGCATCATTATCACAATACTTTACTGGTCGGCAACCCATGGGTCGCGACCCAAGTTTGGGTCGTGAGTGATTTTTTGGGGTCGTCAGATCGCTTCTGGGTATCAAAAAAAATTATACAGAAAGTCATAAATGTTAAATAAACACTTTTATAAATCAGTATAGATTATCCTGAAAACATCGGACAAAATACTTTTTTTATGAATTGTTGCCTATTATTTTCAATTTGTGTTAATGTTTGGCTGTTGTCATCCGATTTACGAATTAATGAGCTTGATAAAACATGGCTGGAGGCGCAGTGCACCGTTTGTTAAATGGTATTTGTGTTTCAACATACACAGAAATATTTTTTTTTGTAGTAAAATTTTAGAGTGTTGAGTCACTCATTTACAGCCTCGGCTCTTTATTTGTCTACTCTTGAAAGGCACTTACGCTTTATTACATGCTAAATTAGTGACCAGTAGGAAATCAAAACATTACAAAGATAAAACGGTCAGATAAAAACGATCAATAAATCATAAAAACAGAATTGAAACGCCACTACAGGAAATTATTTTCTTTAATAAGTTTGTTTATCAAATCTACTGTTGTTATTGAGAAATTAAGTACTTCTATATACAGTAAAACCCCTATTAAGGGGACACCTTTGGGACAAAAAAGGTGTCCCTTAATTGGGGTGCCCCCCCCCCCCAATAAGTGTATCCCTATTCAGAGACAAGTGTAACCTTCATAGAGATTTATGTTGTCATACAATGTTGACATAAACTCTTTATAATTTTATTTTAATGACCACAGAATGAGTTACAGTTGAATTATAACTAATTTCTAGCAATAATTTGCAATGAAAAAAAATCATTTATAATATGAAATCAGCAGTAATGTAATTAAAACTACAATAGTTGTATTTTAAATAAAATAGTAGCATAAATAGAGTAACGACTCAAAAATGAGGGTGCATTTTATGCCATAGATCAGAACCCAACATTAAAGTATACACAAATAAGAAATTCCAATGGTTAGGGTTAAAATTCAAAAGGCAGCCTGCTGGCAAAATCTGGCCCGTGTGAAAAAATTTAATTAAAAGCAAATGCGTAAATTTAATTAAATCATTTGACAAACAAAAACGCAGCCTCTTATTGAAAAAAAAAAGTATATATTACTTTACAATTAGCAAAAGTCAAAAGAACATAAGCTTGTTATTTTTAATGTATTTGGTCTTGAATGTTTCTATAATTAATTTTTAATACAACAACGTTATCCAATCAATTGACTAATCAACTCTTGATGCATTTGCAATACAGGAAATAGCTGTGATATTTCGGAATTTCGATATCACACCTATTTCCTAGTCGTTCTACATATAACCAGTCGTTCTACATATAGCCAGTCGTTCTGTACTTTTACAGTGCTTTTTGTAACATACATATATACATACCATACACACACACACCCACACACCCATATAT